TTTTTCATTATATAGTATAGTATTTTGGAGGCCCTTTTTAGAACCCTATCAGGAACGGTATGTAAATCGACTTTTTTTCCCACCCTATCAGGAACAGTACCGACGATCCATCAAGAACGGTATTTTTGCGAATTACACATATAAATAATATTGTAAAAAATTGATCTGCATTATTTGTCACACCGGGTACTTTGGTCAGTGCACTGCTGTCAAATAATCCCGCGCAATCATACCCTAATCGGGAATCTCACGTGAAAAATTATAATGAACAATGTAAGGCAGGGTATTATTCAGTGAGGGGTTTATGCCATCTGTATCCTATGATCATCGGGAATCTGTTTGTAATTTTTAAGCTCCCAAGAAATAAATAATACGTATTCATTATTTCAGTGTTACGGCTTATGGTTATTGAACAATAATATACTTTTTAACACCAACAAAGTACTTTTATGCATATAAACATTCCTATATAGAAAAAATTATATCTTCTTATATAGCTAGGTCTTATATAGCTAGGATTAGGTTGCAGGTCAAAATCCTGAAGTATTTATTCTGAATCTTAAATTTGATATCGCTTTAACATTAATTTTTTTTGATTTGATTGGCTGATCATTATGTGAACTTCGTGTAACTGAACGATTTAACTTTGAGATCACGTCAAATCATGTAATAATTAACCAATCAAAATTTCAAAAAATTCCTGTTTAGAATGGTACACTTAATCGTTATGCAGTGTTATGCATTTTTGATGTCCAAAGCCCTTTTTGACGTGATGTTTAATTAAAAAAAAAATTTACATGAGTGTGTGAGTGAAAACCTGTAATCATAGTAAATCATTAAATATAGAAAATAAAAATAGAATCAGAATTTGTGTAACAAAATTTTACTAAAAACCAGCTTTGCAAAATATGTATGAAACTTTGCTTATACCGTTCTCTTTCTTATGCTAAACTAGGAAAACAGGATAACACAGGTAGAACAATAAATCTTTTTCACAAGTATTCTTTCAAAAATATTTGGTGCGATATGCAACTTTTCTTTATTATCGAAATTCTTTCCGTATCTCTTTTCACATGTAATATAAAAGGTTGGAAAATATTTAAAAGATATTCAGAAAGGTTGCATATCACACCAAGGATTTTTGAAAGAATACTTGTTGAAAAGGTTTATTGTTCTACCTGTGTAAGAGGCGCATTCAAATCTATTGTTAGGGTTGTTAAGAACCTTTCGCAAAATCAAATGAACCTTATCGGGAATGTCCTCCGTTACGGCTCGCATACCTACGTGATAAGTCAATTTTAATGATTTAGTACACTATTTCTATTCATTTATCAGTTATTTATTTAATATCCTACTTGCCTTTTATTTTTATTTATTATTATTATTATTATTTTGGTAAAGCGTAGATCTCCTTGCCAAAGGACTAATTGTATATACAGTGGTGAGCGATGTTCACATAGACTTAGAATGTTCCTCACCAATTCTACAGAGTTCTATGCTCTCAATGATAAGTGGTCCAGAGATACGAATCCTAAACCAACCATCATCCACGAGCAACGTTGACGTCAGATTAGGGTGTTCATCAAATCGGTAAATCAAACCATAGTTATCATACCTTTTTTTAATACAACTAAAAGGTACACTTTTTGAGCGAAAAAGTTTATTTTTTTATGCCATATTTTTTTTTAATCGATAACTTTTATTATGCTCTTTTCAACAATAACCTCGGTTTTACAAATTTTAATAGTTTTTTTTCATCGAATTTAGTTAAAGAATTTACTACTTGTAAAATTGATTACATTAAATTACACAAAGTTCTTTATCTTTTTAAAAAGTTAAATTAGTAACTATTATACTAGTTCGAAAGAAAACTGTACCGAAAGTTGTTATTATCCGCAGTAATTTCGGATTTTCATGCGACTCTAAATAATGTTTGATTTTATTAGTTTGATAAACACCCTAACGTCAGATGGTTAATAAAGAATGTCATAGAGATAGATACATAGCCAGAGCCATTTTAAATATAGTAATAGCAATGAAGTTTGATTAAGTGACTTAAAAGCATACCGATCAAACAGTCAAGAATATTGCCAACACAGTTTCTACTATGTTATTGATCTGTTTATTATTTTAAATTAGTAATTTGAACTGAAAAAAAAATCCACAATTGGTTAATTGAACCGAGTTATTTTATTACAACTAGTTGAGATTAATAATATCTACTTTTTGTTTTTATCTCAAAAATTTTTGTAACTTCACTTAAATTTTTATCTTAACTTTGCTTATATCTTATGTTTATTTAATTTTTTTTTGGATCTTTTCAGAATTGTTACTTTCTCTTAATCATTTACACACTATACTGTTAGGGATGTTAACTAGTTAAAAACTAGCTATATCGGTTACAAACTGGCAGTTAACTACATAAACTAGTTTAACTAGTTATATGAAACTAGTTATAAAATTTATATAACCGGTTATTAAAAACTATATAGTTAAATTTAAGTTAAATTAACTAGTTAAATTATTCGTTAACAGCTAAAATTAAACACTTATATATGTATAAAGAGTTGTAATTAATATACAATTTTATTCATTATCGCTATGTAAGTTTGTTTAAAAAGAATATTAGTTTTTTTCATTTAAAAATCGAAGATTTAATTCATAGTACTTAACTTTGTATTATATACTAATATGGTCAAGAATATTTCTAAGCTAATAAGATACTATATATATTATATTAAAGTCAGGCACTAATATAATATTATTATAATAGAAATGGCATTAGACAATTATAATTTTTATAAAATAAAAATATAAATAATAGTAAATTAAAAAATTGCGCTTTCCAAATTAACAGTATGTAATAACTAAATTTAGCCAAAACTGCTATACAAAAAAAGCAATTGGATAATTATTTATTTGCTATTTTCTGTTATATGTTTATTGTTATATTTAATTATCTTTTATATGTTTAATTAAACCTGCTGCATACCAAGTTTTAAGGCAAAGAGCTGCACAAGCCTTTTCTGGATCTATCTGATTCTTAGTTGGGCTAATAGTAAATTTTGCAATACTAAACATTTGTTCACTTGCAACACTTGTTGTCTGAATAACTAAGTAATCACATGCCATGCATGCAAGTAAAGTCTAGCAAGGATCTAAGGATTTGGCTTTCCAATATGTAAAAATATCAACTTCTTTGATAGGTAGATTTAGATATTCTTTAAGAGAATCATTGTTATCTACAAATATATTATATGATCTTTTCCAAAAGTAATCTTGTAAAGATCCAAATTTAGGAGTTTCTTCTGCAGATTTATTATGTTTACTTGTATTATAAGTATTATAAATTGTTTGTTTTGCTTTAATTATACCTTCATGCTCAAATAGCATTAGCTTATTATTTGAATCAAGAATTGCTGTTTTATAAAAGGTTGTTTTGAGCTTATTTTAATATTTATTCATTCTTTGTTTTATTTTTTGTATAACTAGCTATAGTGTATTATTTTTATTTTAAACTTCATATATCTGTATATTGTATTTATAATAATAGCAAATACTATACAAAGATCTTCAAGTGTTGGATAGTTTAATAATAGGAGAAAATTTGTAGCATGGTAAATTAGTTCAAGTAATTCATTAAGAGTCTAAGTATAATTGATAAAATAATTTATTTACTGTATATTATTATTATTATACTTATATCAAGCTCTTTTCAATCATTGTTATTTGGATATAAATTTTTTTAATTGTGGGTTTGATACAACTAAAATATCTGTAATCTTTTAAATTTTGTATAATTTTTATTATTATGAAAATAGCATACTAATCTCAGTTTTTGGTACTAAAACAAAATATTTTTGCATAATAAAAAGTTGTTTTAGCTCTTTAAATATAATTTGAGATAAGCCTATAGTATTCATAAAATCTCCAACTTTTTAACTAAAATTTCTACTTCTTTAAGACTATTTTTTGCTATTAGATTAAGAATATGTATAGTATATCTAATATAGCAAAATAATATATTGTTATAGTTATTTAATAATAATTGAGCAAGTTTATTTCTAAATGTATTTATATTCAAAGTATTATCTGTAGTTACTATTTTAATTTTATTATCAAGACCAAAATAATTAATAGTTGTATAAGCAGTATTAGCAAGCATAGCATCTGAATATTTTTCATGTAGAGATATTAAATCTAAAAAAATATAATATTTTTCTATTTGTTATCAATCCAGTGAAAAGTTATAAATATATAAGCCTAATTTGTATATACTATCTATATATTTGTAATAAGTGCTATTTTATTATTATGATTATTAAAATACAGTCATACCTTTATAAATACAACATATTCAGACTAGTCTAAAATATGCATTTAGGGAGATTTGCATTTAGAAAGCCAATCAAATTGCAGTTTTTAATATTTGATCTGCAATTTTGTATAACAATCTTAAATACTTACTTCTGATTGGTTACATACATTTAGTATAATATAAAAAATCTTTTGAGTGAATATACATTTGCAGAATATAAAACGTGCATTTAGCACTAATGATTTTATATAACCAAAACAAAAACATGTATTTAAAAAAGTATTGCATTTATAGGGATTGTATTTAATTATATTTTTTAATTATTTCATACTATTTATCATAAGTCTATTGTATTTTAGCAAAAACTGTTTGCTGATATGGTAATTTATACCAAGAATTAAGCTCTGCTATAAGATTAATAAAATCTTTATTTTTAACAATTGAGAATAGCAACTAATCACAAATAATTTATTATATAAACAATATATTAATAATTGTAATTTTATTTTCATCTACTATATTATTTAACTCAACTTCTAAATTATTTTTGTAATTATTCATAAAATAATTTTTAGTTATACTAATATCTATATTAAAGCTATATAAATTTTTATATATATTACAAACAACATTATTATAATCTTTACTTTATAAAAATTAACTTCAAATTGAATAGTATAGTCTGCTTTTTATTATTTGTCTTTTATATTCATTATTTTTAGTAAGTGCTTTATTAAACATATTTTTCTTTTTATTTTCACTAGGTATTTCACTAGAAATTTTACTACTATACTTATATTTTTTTATTATTTCTGTTATTTTCATTTTTATTATTTATAACTATTAGATTATAAATATTTATTAAATTTTAGAATATTAATTGAAAAGCAAAAGTTTTTTAAAAAATCTAGTTATTTAATTAGAGATCTGCTAATACCACCCCCAAATAGTTTACCTAGCCTTTAATTCTAACCCTAACTTTAAATAAAGTTAGATTTAGGGTTAGAATTAGTCTAATACTATAATTTAATTAGTTATTTTTATTATATAAATCATATAACTAAAATTTAGTATAGCGGCTAGACTATATAGGGGGTGGCATTAGTAAAAGTAGGTGTGGTATTAGCAGGTTTTTTTAATTAATAGACAATACATCTGTCATCTGAAAAGGATCTGTAAATTTTTATAAGTAAATTTTACTATTAAGCTAAATGTAAAGCACTCTAATCTAAAACTTTTTTTTACTAAATAAATTACTCTTGAGCTTCTAACAAAGTTGTAGAGCTTATTAAGATGCATTTAACGATAGTAAAAATATTAAAATTGGTTTGTAGTTCTTAAGAAATCTTTAAAAATATTTCACTAACATATAAAATTTCTTTAAAAAAACAATTTTTTTAAAAAAAAATTTATATGTTGACAAAATGTATTTAAAGATTTCTTAAGAACTACAAAGCCGATTTTAATATTCTTACTACTATTAAATGTGTTTTGATAAGCTCTACAACTTTTGTTAGAAGCCCAAGAGTGATTTACTTAGTAAAAAAAGTTTTAGGTTGGAGCACTCGATATTTAGTTTAATAGTAAAATTTATTTATAAAAATTTGCAAATCCTCTTCAGATGACAGATATATTGTCTATTAAGCTTTTTTATTTATATAATTAATTTAAAAATTACATATAAATTATATAATATTTTATATAGTATTATCTGATGTTTTTTAGTAATTATATAAAAAATTTATAAACAATTTATTAAAAATTTGACTGATAGTATATAGAAAAAAACTCTTTTTAAGTAATTTATTTCTTATTTAGAAATATGGTCTCAGTACATTGAGGACTCAAAAGGTTTTTAAGTACTTATACACAAAGTAAACAAGATTAAAACTGAGAAAATATATGAAGTCGATATATATATTTGTTATACTTTAGAATAAAATATAGATTTAAAGTTAGAACGATAAAAAGAATTTGAGATATACAGTCTAATAACAAAATCATATATATATAATTTTTAGCTCTTGGTAAGGTTAAAGTATATTTAGATTATGCAGAGGATCAAGATAATGATAGTTAGACCAAACGCACATGGAAGACTATGGAATCTTTTGCAGCTATGAGAACTGAACTTAAAATGGTGAGCAACCCTTCAGAAGAATATCTATCCAAGTCATTACCAACATTATTAGACTCCAATAACTTGAAAATATACTACAACAAATTTTTTATCTATTACAAACTCTCCTTACTAAGAGAACTACAAACTGTCAACTCCTTTCTATAACATCTAATACAAAATAATGCTAAGCATCTTGTATACTATATCTTGATTACTATTAATAGTGACAAAACAGAAGCATATGTATATTTATCTCATGAATCTGAAATGCTTCCTAATCACTATATTTTATCTATATATAACTCTTATGATATTCTCTTAAAATCACAATCAAACACACCTATTTATTCCTCTATTTATACTAAATCCTACAGATCTATGGATATTACTAATATATTCTCACTAACACCTACTAACAGAACAAATAATATACTCAACAATGAAATATAATCAGATGATTCTGACTCTATTCCTACAGAACTGCTTTTATTTTTACAAAACCCTTGTGATGAGGCCTCAAACTTATCTACTTTATCTTCAGTTCTTACAAACAACATCTTTATTAACTATATCACTAATTAACAGACTAGCCATGTTAGAGATTTGCACCTTAATATTGCAATACATAATATTTGTAGTTTTAATACAACTACTAAAAGAGAAACCTGGCAAAATTACTATCTTGATCATAATATTAGTATTGCTTGCATTACTGAAACAAAAATTTCAGAAAAACCTAACTTATCCTTTTATAATAATAATCTTTTTATATATTTTTGGGCCAATTTAGATAGCTCAGCAGAAGGTGCTGCTATTATAATACGCAACTTTCTTCAACCATATATTCACAATTGTCTTACCCACCTTGGTGGCACTGTTGCTATTGATCTATTCTTTAAAAGCTTCGTATTATCTCGGTCTATCTTTCTTCTACAGATATGACAAAAAGGACTATTACTCAAACTACTGTTATTAATTGGATTCAGTCTGCTTTACAATATAATTTTCATTTTATTATTCTTGGAGATTTTAATACACATGACTTCAACTTCAGTTCTTCAGCAAAATATAGACTTATAAATTTTTTATACCATTCTAACATATATAATATTGGTGCACATTTCGATAACACTCACTATACATGGTCTAACAATACTTACTCTAGCAGAATTAATTATATCTGGACTGATCAGTTTAATATCCAGTTCCTCTTATCATATAAACTAGATACCAGTGATACTAGTACTCACAGTGATCATCTTATACTTAATTTATCTTGAATATTTCTTAATATCTATAGTAAACTCTCTTGTTTGTATACAGGTATTAGCTGTCATATATTTAATTACAAAGATATGACCTCAGAAAATTGGTTTAAGTTTTCAGATCTTCTCACAACAAAACTCAATTAACATCAAACACCATTATCACTACAAATCTCTGAAAATATAGATCCTATATAGCATAAGATTGAATATTCTATTATAAGTACTACTACATCAATTATTCTAAACAAAATTAGCTATAAATATAGCTATAATCACAAATACAGACCTCATAGCACACAACTATACTTGTCTCTTAAAAACTTGGTCATCTAATTAAAAATTTAAAAAATACTAATACAACTCCTAATATCTCTTTAGTTAATTTACAAATTCAGGATATTAATTTACGATCTCAATATAATCTTCAAACTCTTTTAGTTCAGATTTTGCTCAAATTTTAGAATAGATAAATCATGCTAAGAATATATAGTATCAATTGTACCAAGCACGCTATACTGAAAACTCTCTTCTTCTCCATCAACAAATTCAACAAGCTTCTGAGAAGAGATGTAAGACTCTTGTCAGCAAACCTATATATACTATCAATAGCATTCTTAATCGCTATTAAGCCCCTATACATTTCTCAAATATTAAATTACCAGATCAACTAATTACTGAGCCAACT